CTAGAAGACATACAAACAACAATTTACATTAATAGTTTACTTGTACAGAAATGTATCGTATACTTAAGTATTTTACTTAAATTACTTAAGTATAATTTAAGTGATCTCTTACGTGTTGTTAACTCAATAACTGTAGACGGAAATAGCCTACGTTTTGCAACCGATGTTATTAATTCTGTTTCTGTGCCGTATCATTTGCTCCTATTCTTAGAACACCAATTTTGTTAAGTTGCCTTTAAACGTTGTCTCTACACTTTAACATTTTAAACGCAATGAGGACATATTTTAGTGACTCGACAGGATAATATTACAGAGAATATCTCAAAATAGCAAAGTTATAACGAATATAACTTTTTTGAGAGAATATTTTGTCTTATTTTTCTTTTTTGATTAACTAAGCCAGTTTAACTTTATCAAAAGTAATAATAATCAGTAATCCAAATTAAAACGTCCACTTTGTAACAGGCCGAAATCGGCCTGACGCGGTACTTAAGCTGGGGCGGAAGAAGAAAACTATGTCCCTCTCGCTAGTGCGAAACAATTATCATAGTATGTATCATTATATAAAATGTATTATGTTTCCACAAAGTTATAGCAGCTTAATCTATCCTAGTGCTGGTGGGCCTAAAAAGACCTGCCACGCAGTGGCGGAAATATCTTTGGGGGCGCATTTTAGCCCGCCGCCGCACCGGATGAAGAATTATGATTTTAATTGCCGCAATAAACGTTTTAATGATTCTCTTTATACTGAACTGTATTTTTAAAATACTCGCACAATTATATTTATACTTTCTATAACCTCTATATAGATATTTCACCTTCCTAACCGACAGACACAGTTAATTTCTAACAATTAATAAAAAAAAAACTCGCTTAGTTATAATAGAGAAGTAAAAAAATGAAATACTCTTTACAAGTGAAGAAAACGGTTAAGGTAAAAGAAAATTATGTGCAACTACTTTTTCACTGTCAAGAAAAGGATAATATTTTTCCTTAAGTTGTGTTTTGCTTATCAAAATAATAGGTCAATGTAATACATTAATTCTGATAATCAGTATTGACATTTGAATGTTTTATGCATGTTTTCTGTGATCTAATAAATGTTGCACTGAATAAATGCATTTGTTGTCTAAATTCGGAGTAGCGCTATTTAATTATACTCAAAGTCTAGCTGCTGCTCGCGACTTCGACCGCGTGAAATTAAAAATAATAACCTATGTTACTCAGTGATAACGTAGCTGTCTAATTTGAAGGAATTTTTGAAATCGGCCCAGTAATTTTTGAGTTATTTCAATAGATACAAAAAATACAAATCTTTCCTCTTTATTATATTAGTATCGTTAATATTTCTTTTTTTTTTAAGTAAAAAAAAGATTTCGGATGTTTGCCCCAAATGTGTTCCAGGCTGTATAACATGATAAGAATTCCTAAAAAAAATCGTGGACTGTTTTGTGTTTAAAAAAAAAATGTTTCTTTTTGTTTACATGAAAGTTATTGCTTACAATATAATCTTAGTTTTGCAACGAAATCCGGGCTACAAGTATTAGTTAAGCATTGCATAGTAGGCAATTATATTATTCAATTATGAAAATATGTATACTTTAAACGATTGCTTTTATTAATAAGTAGCTTTTAAAAAAATGATTAAAAAAAATAACTTCGTTAATTAGATTATCAATATTATCGAGTGATACTCTTGTTTCTTGGCACGCGCCTGATGTTTTTGACCTAAAAAAAAAACAACATACATCGATAACCTCTAACCTTACGTAGATGACACATGGACACTCAAATATGATTGTACAGTTAGTGAGAAAAGTGTAATAATAAAAAATAAAAAATAAAAATATCAAATGCTTATCGAAGTTGGGAGCAACATCCAGCCATCAATTTTACGTATGTCGTAAAAATATATACTAACTATATTTTTTACTACCTTAATTATAACATGAATTTGCATGTTTTTATACATAAGTTACAAAATTGGCCGAGAGGTGAAAGAACAATCTCGAACATGTTAAAACTCAATGTCTAGTGACAGATTGAGAAACTGGTTTTTCGAGAACTTACATAATTTTTTTTAACAACCGTATTATTTACTTGTCGCTGAATTATTTAACGTTTTAATTTTATATACTACTATTTATGTTGGTAATGTTATTACGTCTTTTATAAGTTGCCTGAATAAAGGAGCTATATACAAGATAATATCCTTACAATCTATACTTCTATACTAATATTAGAAAGAGGAAGATTTGTAGTTTTGTATGTATTAAAATAACTCAAGAACTATCGGGCCGATTTCGAAAATTCTTTCACTTTTAAAAAGCTACGTAATCCGTGAGTAACATGGGCCATGTTTTTGAAATTCAAGCGGGTGAAGTCGCGAGCAACAGCTAGTATGTAATATGTAGCAACTCTAAGATGTATTAAATAAAGAATTTCAAATTGAAATTAAATATTTTATTTTGTTTTTAAGCTTACATCATGACTTATTTGTGAAAGAGTAATAAAGTTACGTTGATACCGCTAAAGGTTTGACAGGAACGTCTTATTAAAAAGTTTAACTTGACCGGTTAACTTTTTTTACAGTACGAAAAAATGTAGGCTATATACATATACGGTACTTTAATACACTGTCTTTTCGACTCAGACGATGCCCACTTGTACTTTTCAAGCCTTGTAATTAATTAAAACTGGTCGAAAAAACATCTTAGTTGAACTTGAAAAATGAGATATTTTTTTACTAAGTATACCAGTGTCTAGGGCAACCCGCTTACAGAATAATGTATCAATTGAAGTAAACGTATGAACAACGAGTTTGTATATTCAAATATTTTATTAGACTAATGATCCCAAGTCTATTTTATACGAAGCGGAAACAACTTCTGTCAGTAACTGTAATTGAATTAATGCATCCCATTAGATATGTATTACAAAACAGTTTTCTATTAATTAGATTAAAACTCGTAAAATATCGTAATTTATGAACATAAAATTACTTTGTCATTTGTAAATCGGATAAATTCTTAGATTATTGCCATATTTTGTTAGCCAATGGATAATGCATAAGAAACTAATTTTACAAGTATAATTATCATCATCATCATCATCACCAGCTCACTATACGTCCCCACCGAGGGGCTCGGAGCCTACCCTAATACGGGGTGACTAGGCCATAGTCAACCACGCTGGCCAAGTGCGGGTTAATATAATTATAATTATACCAACATAAAATTAACCTTCACATAAAAAATATAAATTCCTTTGCCCTGACTGAGTTCAAAGTTTAATGGCTTGATGAATTTAGATCGATTGCATAACATTGGACAACAAAGTAAGCGTTACAACGTCGAAGTAAGCAAGTTATCTGTCTACAATTTCAATTTTTTTACTGCTACTTTGTCAATATAGACTTTAATTAAAATAGCTTCCTCTTACAATAACTGACATGATTGTAATGTTTATGAGTAAAATGGTGTTCAAAGGCAAACGTTTCAAAACATTACTAATCGATCAAGGAAGAGAGTCATTTGTTTTCCATTAAATAAATTACATACACTATTAGTAAGGACTTGAAATGAAGGCAAAGTTTATCAATAGCAATAAAATTATTATAGATTCATTACTTATGTCGTTGAGTCTAACAAGGAAGCTCTGACTTGCATCGACACATATTGGTTATCTCTTTTATTCTATTGAAAGAAACAGAGACAAAGATATGTGTATAAAAATCTCAGCAGTCAAAACCCATAGTTACGTGGCTCGCTTTGCAGTTAGCAAGTTCTGCCTACAACTTTTATTAGCAAATCTTAATTCTTATCTAATTTTAACACATTAATATCTACTTGATTGAAACTAGTTTCTGTTATTTTAAACTTAATTTTCTTTTAAAGTAACCAGTTGAAGACATGACATTTCTACTGGTTATCTTGTCAGCGTACCATTAGGGACTAATCAAATAAATTGATAATAAATTGAAATAGATAACCTTCATATATTTACATACATTATTAAATTACTATGTAATTTACGCACAAATAAAAAAAAACTGGTTAAAATAACCACCTAATAAATACCATTTAGATGAGAACAATTCACATAAAATTAGTACATTCCTTTTAACGCAATCTAAACAGGGCTATTCATTGTACCATAAAATCATAATACCATGATGTGAATGAACTCCATACAGACCTTTAAAACAATATGTATATCCCTAGCTGTAGCCCGCGACTTCATCTGCTTGGATTTAAAAAATACTGAGTAATATGTTGATCGTAAAACCCATCCATTTGTAAAAACTTTTGCATAAATAATATTAGTGAAATATTAAAAAGTGAGATAAACAAGAATTGTACTAAAAAGACTGAAAGTACAGGTTATATTATGTAGATATTAATTAGAAATGTTTACTTGTATCTGTACCCTGAAATAACGGAATTTCCAAGGAAAATTTATGCATCTAGCAATATATTATCTATCTTAAGTTTCATGCAAATAGTAATAACGCACTATTATTTAATATACCCATTGTACAAATAAATATCTACGAAGATAATAGATATAACATAAACTTATTAATGAAATAATAGAGACGTTTTACATTTTTATGATGCTTATCTGAATATATATTTAGTAGTGTCTATGGTGACACAAAAGTAGTTTATTTAAACTGAAATTGTTAATTAATAATCCCATGAGTTATTAATTACAAAGTACCTAACTTGTACTAACAAGTAAACTTAATTTGAATAGTTATCTTAAACTTGAAGAATGCCGCTTAAATCTAGTTTCAATTATTAGGTAAAAATATTGGGTAACGAGTGACAAAGATTAAATAGATCATCTGCATTCGTCCGGTCGACACATGTGCGAGAGAGAAACAAACACAGAGAACAGAAAACTGGTTAAAAAAATATATACGGAACGCTCGAGATAATAATTATTTTTTCTTTTTTTTAAACTTGGAAGCACCGTTAGTAGTACCTTAATAGACATCGCGGCTTGTTGTCGCGTTCAATCACAGTATCAGTTGTTTATTGTGTTGTGGGAATTCCAAGGGCTCTGTTTGCGAAATGTTAGAGCACGTATCGTAGCTTATTAGTGTTAGTTGTTAAAGCTATAAGCAAACAGAAGAAGCGCTTATTTATTGCATATTTATCAATAAGACCACCAGCAGTTGTCTTATAAAACGTTGTTGTTTGTCGTTCGTTTACACATTCGCTGAATTCGGCGGAGGAAAGTGAACTGTAATATGGGTGTTAATGGAGGGAACTTCGGAGGTAGTGAGTGTGATGATAAGAACTTCGAAATGGTCCCCCCTGAGGGTGGATGGGGATATTTGGTCTGCGTTGGATTGTCAGTTATTTTTGTAAGTACCTTCTTTTGCTACCTTTATAAAAATGTCGCAATGCTTATTTTTTTTTAAATATTTTATTGATATAAAAAATCAGAATTTCACAACATTTAGTAATAAACGTAGAGCATATCTTATGGGAGGAAAAATTGTAAAGTTAAATTTAAGACTTTAAAATCGAAATTTTTAATTGCAATGGTAAACTCGTAAAAGTTACAGAAAAAATTGCAATTTGTTAGGTCTTTGACTTTAATTACGTGATTCATACTTTTTATCGGGCATGACATAAACAATTTTTTTATTTTATTTTTCAATGCTCAAACACAAATTTGGTGCAAGAAAAAAAAAGCAAACAAAAACCTAAAGTACAAAATATGTGGGTTTTGATTCATAAATCCTTTGTAAAATAAAGAAAATTGAACAAAAGCTCTCCATAATAAATTGTTGAAGTTTTTATTTTATTTTGCTAAGCCTAAAGTTAGAATTTATAAGCCGTTGACATTTCAAATAAAACCAAAAGTGTAAAGTTTGTTTTTATTTTGATATTCACGAGTTAAATTATTTACGCTGCAAGACATTTTTTTTTATGATCCCCAGTTTAATTTGTACAAGATGTTGATTTTTAAATCATCTTTAAATCATTACATGAACGATTCTTTTTATCTCTATTTATTTCTCTGGAAGTAGGATAACAGTATGTTTTTTATACAAGTATTAGAAACCCATGATTGTTATCAGAGTTAGTAAACAGTCTATCGGTTGTCTGTTCGATTCCCAATTTGTACTCTGATCTAGTAGACACTAGTAGTAAAAATCTGTATTTCTTATTGTAAATGGATCGATAAGGAAAAATATTAGGCAATATTTGCATTATTTGATTTGTTAAGATATCTTCTTACTATGTTTTATTTCGCGCGGACGTAGTAGCAATAACTAACAAATAATAATAACCTAAGGACTTAACGTAAGTCCGTCTAAGGACTTAAAGTAAGTAAGTAAGTCCTTAAAGTAAATCCTAAAATAAATATAAAACACTATAATTTAGAACATACGTTACTCAACCATGAAGTAAATTTAACCTGAACATACAATAAAAAGAATATGGAAAGTCCACTATCAGACGAAGTAAATTACAGTATTATTACGTTATCTTTATATGCCAAATATAAATGTTTCCAAATTTAGTTGGTTATTTTTAGTATGGTCTTATTCGGACATATAACATGTATATAATTTCCATTTTATTTCAGTTAGATTATGTTAAACAAGGTGATATCGGCCATTCGAGACGAACATTTCCTTTATGAATATTAAATATATTTATTTTTGTAACATTAGAGGAATTGGAAAAGTTCGTATTGACGTCACTATCATCAACTATACATGCTCAAGGGTCGTATTCTACCCTAAGTTAAGGATAATCAAGATCGTATAGACAAGACTCTTAGGGTCCAAAACAAACCAGATAAAACCGGTTCATCGATTTAAGTGCAACTGCACTTACGTGTATATTGAATTAGAGATACAAATGACGTCTTTTGATAAGGTTTTTACGATTTTAAACTTAACGTAGTTCACTGATAATCCTTACAAAGATAAGTTAATTTTAATGAGAAGTCAATGAGACCGAGCTATAAAACGGTTTACGACAGGTCACGAGATAAATTCCAAGACAAAACGTTTTGCAATTAAATAATTATAGGAACAAGGATGTACAAAGTTAAGTTGCTACGCCTATTACGTTACTATGTAACTATATTTACCAACACGATTATTATAAGAAGGAAATATAAGATAGAGTCTTCTTCCTGGATTAACGTCACAAAAGTTGAGTGAACCACTTTTAACATCGGATGCATTTCTGTGCACAACAACGTTCTAAAAATGATTTATTATTTTGTTAGTTGGAGAATCGATGACCTAGAATTAGGAGTAATATTTCAAGGACATTCAACGTTTATAAATTAATAAAATAAGGTAAGCAGTAAATCAGATTCACGCGTATAAATGTAAATTGCTGATTTTTCATCTTACGTAGGTAATAAAGTTGTAATTTGTAGAGTAAGCAGTTACAGCAGAGGCCTATGCCTACTTAATTTTGCTTCGATTAGCAATTCAACATGTAGAGCGTGCGCACACCGGAAACTAAACTATCACATCAACTGTTTAGTCTCGCTTTGATTCCTATAAGCTTGTATGGAGGTGTGCACATTCGATTTTTAGACGTGTAACTAAACAGTTGGCTGCGAAACAATCGACAATCGCATAACAGTTGTGCGATTGTTTACTTGAGCGGGCGCTCTTAATATAAAATTAATCACGAAAACCTAGCATTGATTGTGTTAGAGCGGCAAGTACTTAGTTTACGATCACGTATGTTTCACATGCTAGATTTCGAGGCATCAATCAGTTAGGGAATCTGTTGCAAGACTTTGTAATGGTATCACTGACCTTTTTTTAAGTAAACAGGCTATAAAGCATCACTTTTTGTGCTTATATGATTTTCACCGTTTTGGTGCCCTCGGTTACAGTTGGTAGCGGTGGTGAGGATTCGAAATAATAATGGAAATAGATTAAACTGTCGATGTCATCAACAGACGCGTTAAAGTTGGAACAAAGCTTCAGGATATTGACTCAGTGAAATAGACAAGTAAAAATGTAAATGGGACTTTCCATAAAATGGAATTGCGTTAAACCTTATTTTCGTACATAATGATATATTAATGTCAGACTTAGGCTTAGACAGTGTTATTCGTGACACACAATAATACAAAAAAATACGTTTATTTTTACAAACGACCGATGTACTCGTAGGTAACATAAATAATTTCTATTAAGGATTATTCAATTTTATATTTGACTTGTACTTTAATTTTGACTTAGACTACATCACTTACATATGGTGTGCATTTTATTATTTTTTCCTTATAAATCTAAATGTAATAAATGCATATTAATGTTAAAGGAAAACCTTTGACACGTGTTAGGAATTAGTCATTTAATACATATGTATAACAAGACAATAGTTCACTAATTACTTTTAATTATACATCATTATTTCTGCCCTCTGTTGGGCATAGGCCTTCCCCAATACCTTCTAGAGATTGCGTTCCTTCGCCTCCGTCCGCGTTCAATTTAAACAAAACAAAAGAAAGTAGCCTATGTGTTCTTCCAGACTGTCTTCCAAATTTCATCGAGATTCCTTTAGCCGTTTAGACAACAAACTCTGACAAACATCGATCCATCCATTCATCCAAACTTTCGCATTTTTAATATTAGTAAGATAACATTGCAAATAAAATTTAAAATACAATAAATATCGAGTATAATTATCCATTAAAAGATCTGAATAAAATATATTAAGCCTATTCAAATAATAAACGATGTCAGGGCCATTAATACGATTATTTGTAACCTTACGCGTCAATTTCCATGTGTTTATGATTATTAAAAAAACGTGTTTACTATGTAATTAACTATTAAGTTAAAAGTTAAATTAACATTTAATACGTGTTAACTCAGAAACAAACTATTTAAAATTAAGTTATACTTGTATTCAATTTATTTCAGTAAGAAATAATGGACTGAAAAATAAAACATTACATAAAATTTACATTTATTGTAAATTCCGTGTGCATGTACATATACTAATATTATAAAGAGAAAAGATTTTTATTTTTGTATGTATTGTAATAACTCAAATACTTTTAGGCCGATTTAAAAAAAAAAAACATTATTAAAAAGCTACGTTATCAGTGCGTAATATAGGATGAGTCTTTTTAAATCATTTTAAATTTTACACGGGGAAGTCGCAACAGCTAATCATACTTCTTACTAATATTATAAATGCCAAAGTTTAGATGGATGGATGGATGGTTGTTTGTTAAAGTTTGTAAACGGCTGAACGGATTTCGATGAAATTTGGTATAGATGTAGAGGATAGTCTGGAAGAACACATAGGCTACTCACTTTTGTTTTTTTTTATTCCACGCGGAGTCGCGAGCAACAGCTTATATTCAATATTTTGTCAAAAGTTTTTTGTAATAAAGACATCAAAAATTTACAACATTTGTGGACGTCTGTCAGGATTATGTTCTTAAAATGAATATAAATATTCGTTTAATAGTTTGTTTTACATGTCATTATAGGAAATCTTGTAATAAAAATAAAACCAATATATTTAAATCTATTCAAAAGTTATTGGTACAATTTAATAAATAATAGATTATTTAAATTTTAGGACAGTTTTCGAAGACAAGAGAATTAAAATGTATTTGTCAATTAATAATAAGGGAAAAATTTTTTTACAGTTTCGGTATTTTTCTTTGACACAAGTTACTTTGAAAAATAATAGGCCATGATTTATTTTAGTTTAAATGCTCTTACAATAATGATAGGCGCTATAATTATAATTGTCCTTTAAAAATGGCACCAGTATTTGACCACGATTCAAATTATATAGGTGATATAGGTGATTAGAACAAAATATAGACCATAATTTATCAGTTACCTTTTTACATTCTTTTTTTAAAACAAAAGGAAAAATAACACATAATTGTAGATTAGGTCACCTTTACTATTTATTTTTCCTGTATTATCTGATGCAATATAAACATTACAGGAGCCTTGGATTATTTCCATAAAACATTTTGAAATTAGAATTGAATAGCTTTGTCATTGTAACGGTTCAGATTACAAATTATTAATTTATAATTATAATTCCTTCTTTTACAAGGAAGAAATAAGTGACGAAAGAGTTACAGATCTGCTTAGCACGCGAAAGGTTGTGACATTTGCTTCTTGTGACCAAGGGTGGCGAACCTTTACGTACCAATGTGATATTTTAGAGAAATGTTTCTAAAATAATATTGATTGATGTCCTAGCCGTGCTAGGAAAAAAAATAGACTTTGTGATTGTGAATATTTCGTAGCATAGGAATCACTTTACAATTGGAATGCATAATAAATTTGGAATCAGTGACTTGCCCTAAATGTTCGCGTGCCATTGGTTCGCAACCCCTGGCATACATAAATTAGTATAAGATAAAAATATATTACCGTAAGATATAAAGGACTTCCGCTATTTATAAGAATGAAAGACACAATAGTTTTTGTACAAGTAGTGTCCCAATTACCAAAGGTTATTAACCTCTTACAAGCTAAGCTTTTTTTACGCTAAGATTTGTTAAAGCTGTATTCTTTTGTTAGATAGCGGGTACTGCACATCAGCCTGTGTTTGGCTTCATTTATAATGATTTCCTGGACGAACTGGGAGCGGGCACGGGAGCTGTTACCGTTGTTTATGGTGTGTTCCAAGTCACAGTGGCGTTAGCAGGTAAACAATGGATTTTTTTTAACATACTCGTATAAGTTATTGTGAACGACAGGCTTTAACTTTTCACTCTTTATGTTACAAACGAGCTATCGTTCGCAAACTTCTTTAGCGTAAATTTAGACCAGCCGTACGCCATTTTGACAGCGCGGAATTAAAAAAATAGTCCATAATATGCCCGTTTATGTAAGCGAACCTTCAGTGAAAGTCCAATCAAAATCGGCCCAGCCGTTTTGAAGGTTTCGCGAAACGAACCGCGGCTTGCGGACAGACAGACTTACAACTTTTTTTTAATGCGATTTTCGTTATCGGCAACGCAAATACGTACTTCCCGAAATCTGAAATTTTTCGTTTAATATTAGAGACACTTCAGTTTTATTATATGTATAGATAGATAGATGGTAAATGAAATTCAGGCTATTGAAGTATTTGATGAAAAAAATTATGCGATTTTAGTATAAGCCACAAAATAGCGTCGATTCTGAAGCTTTTAGATAACATTGGCAATTCGAATAATGGATCTTATATGAAATGCTGAGTAGTAATGGATCTGAAATGGAAAATCTATGTTGGTCTTGAAGTTTAAAGTTATAACGAGTAAGATAAGTTTGCGATAGTTGTTAACTTAAATGAAGTAGCTATTCAAGAACGTACAATATGGTAGTTAAGTTGAAAATTTACTCCGTTTTATGTGAATTTTAAAGAAAATCTTATGCTAAAAGCAGAATCGTATCTTTTTTAAATGTTATAAATTTAGTTTTGCTGAAAAATGTACGATGCAATCAATTTAAAGCGTATCATTTGTATAGTATTTTAATTGTATAAATTTGCGACCTTAAGTTTTATTAAATGGCGAGACAAATCATGAATTATTAATAATTAATAACGGAAAGAAATAATAGATACGGACAATAAAACTTATCGTAGACCCTTAGTTTATATGCAGATCAAGAGATAAACCTAAATTTGAAGAAAATTTCTTAAACTAAATTTTATTTTTTCAGGTTTTTCAGCAAACATAGCTTTAAAGAAACTATCTCTAAGACAAGTTGGTCTAATAGGAGCTAGTATTTACACATTAGCATCATTTCTAGCTATATTTGTAACGTCAACAACACAACTTATAGTAACAAATGGATTCCTACAAGGACTCGGAATGGGGTTACTAATACCCATCTCGTACACGAGTTTCAATAGCTATTTCACAAGAAAAAAAGTACTATATCTTAGTTTGTGCAAAGCTTCAATAGGACTTATAACTATGGTTTATCCATTGTTTATAAAATTTACTATAACTGAGTACGGATTCAGAGGGACTTTGGCTATTCTATGTGCGATATCTGCTCACAGTATATTCGGAGCGTTAGTAATGCATCCAGTGAAGTGGCATATGGTGAAACAGACAAAATCTTGTGAAAAGATTGTTCGTAAGTTTAATGTAATATATACAATGGTATTGTAAATTCATACATTAGTATAACAGAGTAATAAATTTTTAATTCAATTTTCAGTAATTCCGCCCACACCTGCCACAGCAACTGATGAAAATAAATTTGATTTCCCAAAAATTAATGGGAATAAAACAGATGAAGCGAAATCAGTCGAGAACTTATTACTAGCAACAACAGATAAACAAAAAGACCGATCAGAACTGCTACTAGTGCCAAAATTAGTGGACTCTAGAAGACTGAGTATTCCCGTTGTCCTAATTCCTGATGACACAAGAACTGACAGTAAATTTAATTCTAATGATAACGTTTATTTAGAAAATCTATACAAAGCAGCATCTGTATCAAGTTTAGGTAACTTTGGTAGTATTGCAGCTGAACCAATGCCGATAATTAAAAACAAAGAAGGAAAATGGTAAGCAGTTTTTTAATCAACGCTGTAGAATATTTTACTGTTTATGTAAAAGGACAGAAAACGAACAAACAGGCCACTTGATGCCTATGTAACTACTACCCATAGGTGAGGATTTACCTGTCGTTATTAGACAGGGGAAGGGATAAGAAAATATGTATTTTCTTTTCCTATCCATCTACTCCATCTCGAAATTCACTTCCTTACCCATCCCTTATCAAAAGAAGGAACAGGAAGGGGATTAAAATGGGACCTCCGGCTTATAGTTCACTTGATAATATTTCAATTTTTGCTTTTGTTAACAGGCAAACGGTAGCAGATTTCTTGGATTTAACATTATTGAAGGATTTGGTCTATGACAATATCATCATAGGAATGGCCTTGACATTCTTTTCTGACTTGACCTTCTTCACATTGGAGCCCTTGTTTCTCGATAAAAATCATCTCAATAGGGTAAGAATTGATTTATCCTAATGATAAGACAGTTTTAAATGACACTAATTTATTTTTATAATGGTTAATAAAACAGGAAAAAAATCATAAATAATGCTACCAAGATCATTTTTTACTGCAAAACAAACAACACGTATCAATGTTACAAAAAATTGTAATAATATACTTGTAATTCAAATTAAGACGAAATCCGGTGTTACATGCAAAAAACAACAAAATATTGGATTACACGATGTTGATGCTGTCAAATCTGATCAAATTAAAATATAATAAAGATAATAATAATAGAAAAAAATTATATTTAACCAATTTATGCTCAAATCAAAATATTAACAATACAAGTCAATCATTGATATTTTAATAATAAACAGGATCTTATTATTAAGTGGAAAATTATTATAATGAAATACTATTATAAGAAATACTTAGCTGGAAAGTTTTTTTTTTAGAAGATGCAATATCAAGGTTACTATAGCGATTATTAATAATACTCCAATACAAATAATTATGTTGAATTTATTATCAACTTGCCAATATTAGAAGTGTAAAAAAATCGTTGACATTTAAGTGTTAAAAATATCCACATTTTAATAGTAATATATTTACATAAAAATATTAATGTGTTAACACAATCGTCTTAAATTATATTAATACACGATTTTAGAAATTCCTGTTGTGTGTCAATGAAATTTAAATTTAAAAAAAAAATTAGACATGTCAAGTCATGTCAACTCTTTATCCTAACTTTTCTTCTTTGTCTATATTGATTTTAGTTACACAATGTAAACACACGATTTTAATATGAGCACAGTCACAATAAACAAAGAAAGTATCAATTTCCACCATACCAAGATAATAATCTTAAGAAGTTGAACTATTCCAATAAATAAGGAAACGAGGATCATTTGAAGTGGCGTCAATACAGCGTGCTCGAGACAAACTGGTCTAAATCTAACGACTGTTAAGGCTGCTTTACATACTCGTACTGAAAACTTTCCATTATCTTCAGATAATAATCGCAGGCTATTAAAAAAATAAAAGATTAAAGTTGAACTTGTAAATTCCATTTTTTTATTTTATTAATATAGTAGCTAGCTGTTTCTCGTGACTTCACACTCTTGAAATTAAAAAGTAATAAAAATATAGCCTATGTTACTCTCTAATAATAGCTTTTTAATGGTGAAAGAATTTTTTAAATTAGTTAGCTTTTTTGATTATTTCAATACATGCAAAAATCCAAAAATACAAATATTTTGTCTTTATATTGTTAGTGTGGATAAGTCCCTGAATTCGTCAACAAACCTTTAAAAATAAGGATTTTTTAAATATAAGGTAACATAATGTTAATCTACTTCAATAAACTTCTCGGAATTATGTCACCTTTCATTGTTTCTTAGTTCCTTTTCTGATTTATAATTTAAATCTGACATCAACAGGGGCAGATAGCAAACATCATCGCAACCGGTGGTGCGACAGATATGTCCGCTCGTCTCCTATTAGGAGTATCAGGCCAGTTCTTCAGAATGAACAGTCGCTACATGTTTTATGTCGGCGCACTTTTAACTGCCATCTTTCGTATTGGTAAGTTAATACATGATTTCCAAACACTAATAAACCTTTTTACTATCCTTTCCTTACTAGTAAAGCTGTAAACCATTTCTAGTAAGGAAAATATGGAGCTTTCGCCCGCGACTCCGTTCGCGTGTAATTAAAATAAATAAAAGTGGGTGACCAATGTTCTTCCCCACTTTCCTTTACATCTATACCAAATATCATCGAGATCCGTTGAGCAGTTCCGATTACAAACTCTAACATTTATCCATCCATCTAAACTTTCGCATTTATAATAATAGTGAAAAGTAAGATAGAGTTGGATGCGAAGGACAAAAAGAATGGAAAAAGGCGTTTCCCTTTGCAGTATTTTCTCTCTCTCCTATATCTCTAACACAAATTTATATTGTTGCAGATGTCTAATGTTTGTCAATTAAGTCTAGTTTAATTTGCTCGTTAATCTAATCCTAGGTTTTATAAAGTTTTTTTTCTTTTCAGTGTTCGTACAGTTTACGTCGTACATCCCGCTGTTAGTATTGACTGGGATCTTAGGAGCAATAAGATCTCTTCTACACATCGCGCAACCAATTGTGATGGCGGAACACGTTCCTATAGAGAGATATCCACCCGCTTATGGTTTATACATGCTGTTAGCTGGTGGAATTAGTTTAACCATTGGACCAATGATAGGTAAATGCTCTTCTTTATTACCAGAGTGACTTATGAATGAGAGATGACTCGTAGTAGGCTAAGGTCAGCGAGATGATGATTTAACGTTTTTTGTGCGTATTACATTACGATCTCTGTATAGAACGACAAGGATAACTGATCTGGAGAGCATAAGTCGAACTAAATTGTGATATCTCACTATTTTCTTAACTAAAAGTGACAGCACCTACTCTCAGGGTCCGATACTGGTTGGCTATATTCTTCCCTTGAGTGTCGTAGAGGTACAGTTAGTCGGATTGTTTGTTTTAACATTAATAAATAATACTTTATAATAGCTAGTAAAACTTAATAAGTAGACTTCATTCTACAACTGTGCCAAATTTCATCAGTTTAGCAGATTAGGCTACAAACTCTCACAAACATCCATTCCGACAAACTTTCGCATTTATAATATTAGTAGGATACACGGTTTAGTTTTTTTTACATAAATGTGCCTAAAATTTATGAGTGCTATAAAACACCCGCTGATAAAGTTTTGCCCCACTCGCTGCGTAATGGAATAATACTAGGAGCGGAGAAAGTTATATAAGAAAACTGTTTCACAAAGTGTCACAACAACTCGACTCAGTAACTTCTTGATTAATATTCATAGCTAATCTTAATGTAATAACCGTGTTTCTCAAAGCCAACAGATTAATGCCACGGTAATGATATTTGCTTTTGAGTGAATGATTTATTACATTCTTAATACACCTTAAACATAAAACAAAGATCCTTAGGTTCCTTGAATTAGTATTTGGAGAAGCAACTTTGTTTAATCTTACTAGTATTATAAATTCGAAAGCTTTGAGGGATGGATGTTTGTTAGAGTTTGTAGCCTAAACGGCTAAACGTCTAAAAGGATCTCGATTAAATTTAACATAGATGTAGAGTATAGTCGGGAAGAAAACATAGGCATTTTGTTATTCTAATTCCACGCGGACGGAGTCGCGGGCGAAAGCTAGTTGTAAATACAGATACCAAAATTGAAAGAGAGTGAATTTTATTATAGAAAAAGTTTTACTCATTCTTTTATGCAGTCTGTAAGGAGTTTTTTTATAATAATTATATGCTTATTTAATTTTTGTTCTCAGGTTTCATTCGTGATTACACCGGAAACTACGTTTTAGCTTTTAGTATGTTAACAATGTGCAATGTACTATGTGTTGTTCCGTGGACGATGGAGGCTATATTAAAATATATGAGGCATAAAAAAAATTCCAAATGTGTGCAAGGTTAAATGTAAGAATTGTTGTCACTTCAGAATAACTTTACTATTCATGTAGTGTCTATTGAGATAAAATAAATATTGAAGAAGGGTTTAAATTTCTATCAGAACCCATAAGACGAAACGCGGAATTGTTTCCACTTCAAGCCTATATTCTGTGGTCGTGGTATTGCACTGAGCAAGCCAGCCCATTCGTCCGAATTGTTTTTACGGGCTGTGCCATTGTTATAAACACATCAGAGAAATCGGCATTAATTACAATAACCTATAATTTACACAAAGTATAATTTATTTTAATTGATAACGAGAAAGTGCCATAACGTAGTTTTAAAATTAAAATTGTTTAGAATCATTATTAATAGTAAAAGAATAGATTGTTTTTTTGTTGCAATGTGCAATTATTACAATTGATTAAGCACATAAAGACGACGTAACACTTGTTTCATTTGTTTGAAAAAATTGCCCGCGTCTTGCCCTCCGATTACTATTACTAACTTCACTAAGCTACTGATTATCAAAGTTCACATTGTGGTCAAATTTTGTACAGTATATAAATAAAAATTACGATAAACCATGGAACCGAAATAATTTTACATTATCTCATAAAAAATACATTCCTACAAAATAAGTTATTAATTTAAAATACTCAATTAGGTTTAAAGTTAAATGTAAGTAATAGTTCTATTATTTGTAAAATATTTTATTGTGCACATGTTTTGTAAATAAATATCTTCATTCTATTACATTTAATTGTTTTATTTGAGAGATACGTTTCTATTAATCCAAAACAACAAAGACAAGAATTTCCCTTCAATAGTAACAATGAAGAGACTGCGGAAAGAGCAGAGGTTATAATTAAGTATACCAATAAAGAAAAAAGGTAAAATATAATACTGCTCTGGTCTTAGTAATATAAATAGTAATATGAATTTAACATGTTATGAAAAACAATCGATTATTAACATTGTCTCTCTTTTTTTGTGACTGATTTGTCACTGTTTGCCTTGAAGAAGCATTTACAGCTCTACCGCGCTTGAGGTGGGCGAACACGGATGGCGCTCAGCCTAAACCTCGTTTATGAGTAACTAAGGTCGAGGGCTCCCTCAGGAGCCTCGGCTCGGGCCGTGACTTCGTTGTAAAATCTATACTATTATAATAAAGCGTAAACACACACTTCTTTGTTGCCTAAGATCTCGGCAATTACACCATATTTTTGAATAATTCTTTTTTAATAAAAAGCCCTTCACTTACGTCACGCTTTAGGCTATATATTTTCACGCCATTAAACTTAGGGGGTAAATATTTTGGATAAAAACCTTAATGTGGAAAAGAGACCATAAATGCTGCCAACATCAAGGAAGCAAATTACCATAGTAAGGTAATTAGCATTTTGACATTTACAACTGAGAATTTGAGAAATGCAAACAACAAATATACAATTCATGCGGAGGAAGCCGCACGCGAACAGCTAGTTCTCTTATGTAATTAAAATTACAAATTCTATTTAAGATATTAAACGGTGAAGGATTTTGCACATATCTTTCCCTGTGCTATAATCGCATACAAACATGTAGCTATTACATTAATAGTGTGTGTTCTTTCACACATCTAACAATAATTATTATCTTAATGTCGTCCCACATTATGTCTGTTCGCTACTCTTCTCAATTCTTAATATTTTACGATGTCTTACGTATAATCTAAATTACTATAATTTTGCCGATATAATATCTTATCAGATTACACTTTTTTGCTTGAATTGTGACTATTTCTTATTTATATATACAAAATTACATAAAGAAATACTAGTAGATGCTTTTAATTAATTCTTCTTATTTAAATAATTTAGTTTTGATACATGAGTAACCTACTAAAATTACATTCCTATCTATATAAAAACCAATGATAATACGACAAAAATGTTTTAAGAATTTCTACTAGATTCTGAGGTAAATATGAAAATAATCGTTTTCAATTACATTTTTTCCCATGATTAGATACCATTTTTACCTTCTAAAAAAATCTTGAAAGGGAAAATCTACAGTCCGTAATAATAGCACGGACAAAGTCAAGAACACAGACTAGTAAATATGACGTAATTTATTATCAGTGTCAGTACAACGCAAATACACAAGGGAACAAAGAAAAGTTGTCGCTTCACGTGTGTACCGTTTATAGTATTGTACTTTATCTAGTACCGGATATAGTTGAACTGTTCATTGTGAGACTAGTTAGGAACATCACTATGGTGACTGGTGGTCGTGTGGAAAAAAATAAATTAAAAATCAAAGAAACTGAGGATGTCGCTGATAATAATATATGGGGATACGTTGTCTGTTTTGGCACAATTATTACATTTGTAAGTATTGTTTCGTCTATGATTATTTAACGATGCTATTTTAATTAGATTTTTTCTATTTAATTTGCTTAAAAACAAGTGTAATGTTGAAGACAGTTGAAGCATTTTTTAAAATTAAAACTAATATATTTCCGCTATATTGAATTAAAAAGAATGCAATATTTTAACATGTGTTTGGGAATAAAAAAACATACATGATTTCACGTTATCAGATTGCAGGAATTGGTCATGTGAATTCATTTGGACTGATTTACAATGATTTTATTATCGAAACAAATTCGACAGCAAAGTCATTGACCACCGCACATGGAGTGTTCGCAATAATGTTGGCTATTGGAGGTAAACAGGATTTATAATCTTGTATCTAATAAATGTTAATCTATGCCTATAATCCACTGTAATTAATTAACTTAAACACGAATGGAAAGTTTTAGTTTTTTTATAATAAAAGGGGGCAAGCGAGCGGCGTGAACACCAAGGTGGTCACCGACGCTCATGGACATTCGCAACACCATAGTTCATAAGAAATAAAAATGCAAAAGTCTAAGTTGGAACTGGGTAAAAAGTGGATAAAGTTCGCAATAGATTCGCATAAATAATTGGTTTAAATCCCAATAGGAAAGAAATACAAAGAAGAAAAAAAATCTCTTAGCTAGAAAGAAGCACAATGTTTGTGAGGTTTATTACTTTGAGTACCTTCTCATAATTAAATTATTATTAGTGATATTATTGCAGTGAAAAATAATTCCAGAGGAATCAATAGTAAACTAAAACGAATCTATTAAATTTGTAAACACGACATGACATTAATCGACTTTTTTATTTTCAGGATTACTTCTTAATATGATTATAAAAAAACGTTCTTTAAGATTTGGCGGACTGTTAGGAGCGTTTACATTTTCTGTTGGATCATTATTAACTATATTAATAACAAATACTAACCAACTGCCTTTAACATTTGGAGTTCTACAGGGTATTGGTTTTGGAATGATGGTACCAGTTTGTTATTCAACATTAAATTACTACTACGTGAAAAGAAGAACGCAAGTAATGAGTGTGATAAAAGCGTTGCAAGGATTTATTCTTATGTGGTATCCACAATTGATAAAGCTGTTTATGACGGAATACGGATTCAGGGGAACATTGCTAATAATATCGGGAATATCGCTTCATGGTGTACCAGGCATGGCTGTAATGAGGTCGAAGCCACCGAGAAATTTCCGAACCGCAAGTATTTTTTTCCCTTTCTGATGGTTTTTGATGCAGTAATTAACTCAGATTATGTCAATAATTTGTAATTAACAGAAGATGCCAAGAATGTTGGTGAACAAGAGGACTTATTGAATGTTGAAAACGGAAAACTAAATACTGAGAAAGAAAAGGAACATCAAAAAGATAAAAGGAAACTAAGTGTTGTTAGGTAATAATTTTAAGATTTAAATCAAATCATGGAGTAGGTCCATTTTAGTAATAATGGATAATGTATTTCAGACACGAATTGTGGAAATCAATGAACATAAAAGTGTTAAAAGATCCAGTTTTCTGCAACATCTGTGTAGGACAGAGTTTTGTGAATTTCTCTGATCTGACATTCTTCATCTTGCTGCCGATGCTTTTGTTTCAGTATGGATATACTGCGGTAAGTTAACTGCTAAATGTTTTTATATCTACATGTCTCTTTTATTATTTTATTTAATTTCACTTATCCATCAACCCCCAACTGGACACAATCGTCTATATATTCAAGTTGCAAGCTTATTAGATCTAATTTGGATAGATTTCTTTAAAATATATTTGAGTTCTAAAGAATTCTGTGTTTATGTTTGTTTTCCTTTATTTATATTCCAGACACAAGTAGCAACATGCATATCTATCACCGCGGCAGCTGACGTCGCCGGTCGCTGCATCCTCGCTGTTATCAGCAGTATTGTTGATATCAATACAAGACTTCTGTACTACATAGCTACAGCAGTCACTCTTATAGTAAGGATAGGTAAGTTGCATAACATTAAAGGAAAAATGTCGAAGTCGATGTCGTCGTCGTTGATGACGTCACCAGGACTGACAGAACTCTTAGTATTAAAATCTTTTAGATAGTGTTTTTTGTATAATCATACAAATTTAAAATAATATATAATGTTAACAGGAAACTGAACATTAGAATCTACATTTAAAGTCTACGACATCCAGTTTGAATGACACGTATTGTAGATATAAAAAATATATTAATATTCTAGACGATAATCTAGATATTTTAGTGAAAAACTAGTAAAGATTTTATGCTCATTAATAAGTTATATTATGCAATATAATCTTTAATTTATCTTTTCAGTGATGCTGCAGGTCCGTGAATTCGTTTATGTCGCGGTGGTAACGGGTATATTGGGCGTGCTTCGCGCGTGGCTTCACGTTGCCAGCCCGTTGGTGATAGCCAGCCAAGTACCTCACGGGGACTTCCCCGGTGCATACGCTCTGAGTATGCTAGCTGCTGGTATCGTCAACCTAGCATCTGCACCTTTCATCGGTAAGAAAGAATTGTTTTTGTCGATATCAATAATTTTACTACATTGAAATAATTAAACTATATAAATGAATATTAAGATTATCATCTGAACTGTACCAAACATGTAAAATCATTGTAACGACCGTAGGTTACAGACTTTTTGTCGGCTGACAGTTTGATTGGGTCGTTCAAAAGCATCATCATCATCTTACTCCTTATCCTTATGCAGCAGGTTTTTGTCATCCACATATCTCTATCGTACATCACCTCAGTCATCACTCGCTTTTTGATCATGTCACCTTTCACGCAATCCATCAATAACATGCGATTCATCCCTCATCATAACATGCCCATACCATGCTAACCATACGAAGGTCGGTCAAAATCATATAAAACAAATTTGATGCACTATGAACACCTCCTATTATGTTTTTACTAAACTAGCAGCCTATAAAAAGTCTAGTCTGTGGAAGCTTTAAATGTGATCCAAAATCAGGGTCCGTTGCATATTTTAGGAGCAGAAATATTTGTCACACCCAAGTATTTTTAATTATTTTAGATGTTTATATTTTTATTTACATAAAATTATAAAACACCTAAGAATTATTAAGTTATGATAATAATCTGAGAAACATTTAGATAAGATAAATAAAATAGCTTTAATAAAACTTTATTCGATAAACTTGAATATCGCATCGTTTCTTATTTATACGAGTCAAAACTTACCAACAATATCGGAACAATCTAGCTATAAAGAAATTCTATGGAGCTATAAAGAAATACAAGATGCTTCTTGAAGTTGATTCTAATTAAAGTTTCTTTGAGTGGAACAATTTTATAGTTGACTAGCTTTCGACCGCGATTCTGTCACGTGCAATAAAAAAAAAACTCTACATCTTCTTTCCAAACCTTTTTCGTACCAAATTTCTTTGAAATTCATTTAAGCGTTTAGGCTACAAACTAACAAACATCCATCTATCCATCTAAACTCTCGCATTTATAATATCAGTATTATTTTATTTACAGGTTTGCTGAAAGACGTATACCAAGATTATGTTCCTGCATTTTATGCTTTAGCCGCATGTTGTGCGCCGTGTCTGATATTTTGGCCAATAGAATATGTAATGACTAAACAATGAGGAGTTTAAAGTAAATTGTAAAGTAAATTGTGTTATCAGTATTATGAGTGGAAAGAAAGTAATGTAAACTATATTAATTGTGGTTTGGGTAATATTTTATCCTTCGAATACGCTTATAAACTCATAAAGTGTGTGTCACAATGTAATCCATACCAAGTGTGTAATAATCACTTAGTATACGAAAATAAATATTTGTTATAATGTTTTTCATTTTATTATTGAGGTCCCTTTTTAGTTATTTTCTTATGAAAAAGTATTTTGTGAAATTCATATTTGCGATTACGTAAATGATTTTTTATTATTTATTGCTTAAATTTAATTGTTTTTAAATATGTCGTCAATAAATAAGGTTATTAAATAACAACGGAAAAGATATTGTCTGATAAACGATAAAGCATATATTATTACGTTATGGAAATTCACCGAGTTGCAAATCTATACTTATACTAAATAGGAAAATTTTGTTTGTTAGATTGTAATGAGTAGGCTCAAAAACTACTTGGCCGATTTTAAAAATTCTTTCACCGTTAGAAAGGTAATTTATCTGTGAGTAACATAGGCTATATTTTTTCATTTGTTTATTATTATTTTTAAATCTCACGCGGGCAGAATCACGGGCAAAAGCTAGTATTATATAAATTTGTGGATTAATAAGAGCCTATACAAGTTGTTTATGCAATTTATTGTGTTGGTAGTTGCCGATTGAATAATAAATCAGGATATATCCTATTAAAGTCGTAAAAAAATATAATTAACCAATAAATAACATAAATGTATAGACTCGTTTGTAAATAAATTAATGTCTTTATGATGTCTTGATTTTTTCTTGTTTTTGCATGCATTGCCACGTGACGGATGTGAGAAACACGTTAGAGTAAACAAAATAAGTAAATAGAATTAAAAATAAAAAAATATTGTAATATTCCGGCTCCAGTTAGCTGTAACATATGTATGCAAAATTCTATCCTAAAATATGATACAATTAACATTTCAAAATCATTCATTTATTTACATAAATTATTAATATAAGTAGAACATTGAATGAGAAATAGGAAATAATTAATTCAGCAAACAAAGGCATTGCATTTCGCAAATATGTTTAAATCTATTTATTACTAGTTGTTGCCCGCAACTTCGTCCACGCAATATTAAGTTAAAACGGATGTCGATGAAATTTGGCATAGATAGAACAAAGTAGGAAAGAACACATAGGCTACTTTTTTAATCCCACGCGGATGAAGTCGACGAAAACATGGAGAAAATAATTATGGAGTAAATTAGACGTTACAATGTACATATAAAAAGTTAGCACAGATTTAAATGAAGTTAAAAAACAAGTAAAAAACACAACAAATTTTGGGACAATCTTCCGTATTTTAATTAAATGTAAGGTCAAAACAATTATGGTCAAATTAAATTATGTGTTTCACAAATACAACCGTTTATGGACATTTCTACATTTCATTTTTGACAAAAAGTCGACATGAAAAGTAAATATCGACAAACATGTTCATGAAAACAAAATTGTAACTATGAAGTGTTTAAATTTATCTATATTATAGTTTTTAGTAAACAATTTATAGCAAAACTCATTCAAGTTTCTAGGAAAATTTTTATGGTGATATACATCATCATATTCCTTGACCTTTCACTATTTACTCCTTTTTGTATTACTCCACCTTCCACGCAATTTATTCACCTAGGCCGAGACCTATCTCTTACTGATATACGTATCCCACCAGATTCATATTTAAATTTCTCTTTGTCACATGGAATTCTTCCATAGTCACCTTTTGTTTCTAAATTTCTCTAGTGTGGTGTTTATGTGTTTAACACACGCCATAAAGTTTTACAAAAACAAATCGTAAATGCGAAAGTGTAGACGGATGGAATGGATGTTTGCTAGAGTTTGTAGCCTAAACTGCTGAACTGATGTCGATGAAATTTGGCACAGATGTCCATACAGTCTGGAAGATCACATAGGCTGCTAATTTTTTTTAATACTACGCGGACGGAGTCACGAGCAAAAGGTATTAATTACTATATTCTTAATACGGATATAGATTCATCCAATCAGTTACCGTATAATTGGAATCTCGTTAATACTGCGAAGTTATCAGTAATACCGAAGTTTGTATAATAAACGACGTCGCTCGGGACTTCATTAATATATTATTTTGGTATTGAGTGGGACTACGCTTTACATGTTAATAGTCTTGGTATTATTATATATGATAAATGTTATATGAGTTTGTAGCTTAGACAACTGAACAGATCTTAATGCTTCTTATGTTTGTTTTTCAATTTTACGCTGACGACCAAAAGCTAGTCATTAGTTAACTAGCTTACGGCTGTGACTCCGTCTAGGAGAGGAGCCGCGGGCGTAGGCTATGTGTTCTTCTAGATTCTAGACTATCATATACGTCTTTGCCAAATGTTATCGAAATCTGTTCAGCCTTTCAGGCTACAAACTCTAACAAACATCCACCTAAACTTTGGCATATTATTAGTATAATTAGGTGTAGGTTTAAACATCAAAGGGGTATAGTTAGGAAAAAAGATCCTTATGGCTGCAAATCTTACTAAAGTATTCAACATAAATTAATGTAATCTCCTTTTTAAGGTTCTTTTTTGTTCTAAAATTAGCATTCGTCTAACGATTTAGTAATTCATCAATTAAATTAAAGCCGTTATAAGAAGAGTCATCAATTACGAAAACGTGAAACGAAAATTGTGGAATAAAAGGCTTCCCTAAAATAAGGCAATATTTTTAACGAACCTTGAAATCAGTCTACTGAAAATTACTTTTATCGAAAGAGATTTTTTGATACATTAATTTTCTTTGATAATAAATTTATTTACGAATTCTTATATCATTTTGTAACAAAACATTCAAAAATATTGATTGAAACATGGAATATATTTGACTATGGAACTTACTTATTTACCTTCTTCTTCTTTCGTTATTTATTTTGGGAATGCTTTCTTTAAGAAGAACCATATACAATCTTGGTTTCTCAGAAGTATATGATTTGTATTTTTTTCTTAATTTATCATAAGTCTGTAGTCCTAATGCACCCATTATAGACCTTTCTTTGTCCCCTTGCTCACGCATGCATCAATTTTGATCCTAACATCCCTTTTCTGTCAACACTTTACCCTTATCAGACATTTTTTACCATCGGGTCACGTATAAAAACTCGTCTTAAACACAAATTATCTTTACTTTGATGAATTATTTTAAGTTGGAACCAACTTGTTCTAACAATGTCCGATTTACATTTTAATATCGGGCAAATTTATTTTAATATAAACGTAAAACTTTTATTATCGCTAGCTCTGTATTAACGTAGGACGGCGATGGCCTAACCCGGGCGGGCTGTATCGATCGCACCAGCCGCAGCTTCCCCAGCCGAGTTCTGTGCCATTTCCACAAACTTATGATGAAAAAACAACTTTATTACAATGCTTTTAAAATTCAAAATTGAATAAAATAGTTGTCTTACAAACAAATATGCCATGATCGACGCGCCTTTTATGTTTTACTTTGTTACTAGTTGGCTTCGTATCGTAATATGTGGAATTGACTCCCAAAGGTAGAACCAAAAACTAGTACTGGCTTTCCACTAATTAATAATAGTTTTACCAATACCAAAATCTTAAAAAACTGTTTCAGAAAGCAGCAGTAACAATTTTTTAATGATCAGGACAGACTAAGTAGTTTGATTAGAAGTTCTCCATTTTCCTACATTTTTACCTCTATAATAAAGTTAAAAGAGTGCCGGTGGCTCAGTGGTTTAAGATGTGTAATCCACAGGTCTTGAGTTCGAATCCCGCTGTACCAATGTGATTTTCGATTTTTCGAATTCATATGTTCATAATTTACCCGACGTTCTTACGGCGAAGGAAAACATCGTGATGCAACCTACACATATCGGCGAAGAAATTCAAAGATATATGTGAAGGTAACCATTCCGCACTGGGCCAGCGTGGTTGACTATGGCCTAGTCATCCTAATTTAGGGCAGGCTCCGAGCGCCTCGGTGGGGACGTACAGTGAGCTGGTGATGATAATGATGATGATGATGAATACAGTTAATAGCTCATATATGCGGTTTAATAATGCACGTTATTCTTGTAAAGACAATCCGGTTGCACGTATGGGTTGTCATAAGTGTAATTAAAATTAACATTATTAATTATAATTTATTAATTACAATTCTTATTAATGATTTATAGAATAAATTAGACGTCGTGAATAATTACTGACCGGTTGTAATATAATCTATGTAATAAATAAGAGGTTGCATATACGACTTTAGACAAAATTAATTTCACCAAACGAATTGAATGTTATTTTTAATTCCGTATGTAAACTAGGACATTCATCGAGACAACAGTCGCGAATACTCTTTACGTAAAATTTTAGTAATGAGCAAATGTATTAAATCTTTCTTTGAATTAAATATGAAAATCTACTACAGAAAAACTAAAATATCTAACTGGTGTGTTCCGATGCCTTCGTAGGAGAGTTATGAAGTTTGTGATTATAAATTGCATTAACATAGTAAAGATGTCAAATGCAAAGGTTATAAAACTGCTCTTAAAAATAAAAACAAAAAGAAAACAACATTCCATAGCCCAATTAAATCTCTAGTAGTCAATCTCATAAAGACCTTATATGGAAAAGCAGTTGTCGATAAAAAAAAATGGTAACGTAATTCATGAAACCTGAATACATTTAAAAACCACGTTGACCTTTTATAATTGTTTAAATTAGACTTACGACGTGCATTTTAATTGCATAATATATTTTAATCGGTCATCGAAAAATCTTTTATGGCACATTTAGATTATCAATAAAAAAACATTAATTATTTACTAAACTAAAATCGTTATAAATTGCAGAACATTATATATACCTAAGAAATATGAAAACAGAGCAAACAAGAATCAATTATACTTCATACTAATCATACTAAAATGAATAAATGCGAAAGTTTAGATGGATGGATAGATGGATGGATGTTTGTTAGAGTTTGTAGCCTAAAAGGCTGAACGAATTTCGATGAAATTTGGCATCTGATAGGAATTTGGTTTAGCCAGCACACAAAACGATTAAATAAATAAAGATTGTTATTTATTCTCATGTAAATTAATATCAATACAACTGTGTATAAAAACAAGATA